GGTTCTTAACCCACTCCAGAGCAGGCACTTTAAACTCTGGCCTGAGACTCAAAAGCCTGCACAGCCATGTTCTCAAGTCACCAAAGAATGGCTGACTTTGTATTAAAGTCCTCTATGTAAAGCACCTGTATTAAAAGTGGCATCCTGCCGTCAGTCCTGGGTCTGTGAAAATGTCTGCAGATTTTCCCTTCATAGTGTCTCATAACCTCTCCCAAAGTTAGTTTCAAGGCTTGGAAGAAACAAAATCCTCTCCTTTGGGCTAGGTTGCTCAGATCCTCAGTAGAAAGATGAGTCAGAGAGGGAGGCCCTCTGCATCTCTCACATACTGGGGCTTTACCCACTTTGGTCAGCTAAATGTTATCATGGGGTATGTTTGCACTTGTTCTCCTCTGTAGGACCTGAGGTGTCCTTTGTGATTCCAGTACAATCTCACTTTCCTCCTTGAATTAAAACTCAGAGACACCATCTTTATGAACTATCTTACTATCTTCAAGTGTCAGAAGCATGTCAAAAGTCTCTACTATGCATCCTGAAATAAAAAGAAAAAGAAAAAAACACAACTTGCTTTATTTTCTCTTTTTATTTTGTGTTTGTTTGTTTTGTTTGTTATTATTTAAGTTCTGGGATACATTTGCAGAACATGCAGGTTTGTTACATAAGTACCATGGTAGTTTGCTGCACGCATCAACCCATCATCTACATTAGGCATTTCTCCTAATGCTATTCCTCCCCTTAGCCCCCACCCCACAACAGGCCCCGATGTGTGATGTTCCCCCTGCTGTGTCCGTGTGTTCTCAATGTTCAACTCCCACTTATGAGTGAGAACATGCAGTGCTTGGTTTTCTGTTCCTCTGTTAGTTTGCTGAGAATGATGGTTTCCAGCTTCATCCATGTCCCTGCAATGGACATGAACTCATCCTTTTTCATGGCTGCATAGTATTCCATGGTGTATATCTGTCACATTTTCTTTATCCAGTCTATCATTGATGGGCATATGGGTTGGTTCCAAGTCTTTGCTATTGTGAATGGTGCTGTAGTAAACATACATGTGCACATGTCTATATAGTAGAATGATTGATAATCCTTTGGGTATATGCCCAGTAATGGGATTGCTGGGTCAGATGGGACTGTTGATCCTTGAGGAATTGCCACACTGTTTTCCACAATGGTCAAACTAACTTATTAATTACTAATTTATCTTTGTGGTGTTCTCTGTATTTCCTGAATTTGAATGTTGGCCTGCCTTGCTAGGTTAGGGAAGTTCTCCTGGATAATATCCTGAAGAGTGTTTTCTAACTTGGTTCCATTCTCCCTGTCACTTTCTGGCACACCAATCAAAGGTATATTTGGTCTTTTCACATAGTCTCAAATTTCTTAGAGGCTTTGTTCATTTCTTTTCACTCTTTTTTCTCTAATCTTGTCTTCTCACTTTATTTCATTAATTCAATCTTCAATCACTAATATCCTTTCTTCCACTTGATCAAATTGGCTATTGAAGCTTGTGCAAGTGTCACGAAGTTCTTGTGCCATGGTTTTCAGCTCCATCTGGTAATTTAAGGTCTCCTCTACACTGTTTATTCTAGTTAGCCATTTGTCTAATCTTTTTTTCAAGGTTTTTAGCTTCCTTGCAATGAGTTAGAACATGAACCTTTTGCTTCGAGAAGTTTGTTATTACCAACCTTCTGAAGACTACTTGTCAACTCGTCAAGCTCATTCTCCATCCAGTTTTGTTCCCTTGCTGGCAAGGAGCTACAATTCATTTGGAGGAGAAGAGGTGCTCTGTTTTTTGGAATTTTCAGCTTTTCTGCTCTGGTTTCTCCCCATCTTTGTGGTTTTATCTACCTTTAGTCTTTGATGTTAATGACCTACAGATGGGGTTTTGGTGTGGATGTCCTTTTTGTTGATGTTGATGGTATTCCTTTCTGTTTGTTAGTTTTCCTTCTAACAGACCTCTCAGCTGCAGGTCTGTTGGAGTTTGCTGGAGGTCATTCCAGACACTGTTTCCCTGGGTATCACCAGCGGAGGCTGCAGAACAGCAAATATTGCTGCCTGATCCTTCCTCTAGAAGCATCGTCCAAGAGGGGCACCCACCTGTTTGAGGTGTCTGTCTGCCCCTATTGGGAGGTGTTACCCAGTCAGGCTACACAGGAGTCAGGGACCTGCTTGAGGAGGCAGTCTGTCCATTCTCAGAGCTCGAACACAGTGCTCAAAGAACCGCTGCTCTCTTCAGATCTGTCACACAGGGAAGTTTAAGTCTGCAGAAGCTGTCTGCTACCTTTTGTTCTAATATGCCCTGTCCCCTGAGGTGGAATCTATAGAGGCCGTAGGCCTTGCTGAGCTATGGTGGGCTCCACCCAGTTCATGCTTCTTGGCCTCTTTGTTTATACTGTGAGCTACTTAAGCCTGAGTTACTCAAGCCTCAGCAATGGCAGACACCCCTCCTCCAGCCAGGCTGCAGCCTCGCAGGTAGAACTCAGACTGCTGCACTAGCAGTGAGCAAGGCTCCGTGGGTGTGGGACCCACCGAGCCAGGCACATGAGGGTATCTCCTGGTCTGCTGTTTGCTAAGACTATGGGAAAGCACAGTATTTGTTCAGGAGTGTATCATTTCTCCAGGTACGGTATGTCACGGCTTCCCTTGGCTAGGAAGGGGAAATCCCCTGACCCCTTATGCTTCCTGGGTGAGGCAATGCCACGTGCTGCTTCGGTTCATCCTCCATGGGCTGCACCCACTGTCCAACCAGTCCCAGTGAGATGACCCAGGTACCTCAGTTCGAAATGTAGAAATTACCAGTCTTCTGCATCCATCTCCCTGGGAGCTGCAGACTGGAGCTGTTCTTATTTGGCCATCTTGGAAGCCAGCCCACCACCAAAGTAATCTTCCCAAAGATTACCCAATTCATGTGACATAAAGGCATCTGAGTTAGCCTCTATTAGTCTGATAAGCACTGACTTTTCTTTAAGCCAATAGATTAGAGATCTTTCAAATAACTTGGTAGTGAAATACCACTTCCATGTGACACATACAATTATATAAATATAACAGACATAAAAAGGCAGGTCCAGAAGATTTTTCATTTGGCTGTTTTGAAAAAACTTGCTCCCTTACTTTAGAACCTTAATAAACGTTACAGGAGCCAACAAAAGGTGAAGGAGAGAATTACAATCTCTGGCCTTTTCAAAAGAGGAACACACCAAACTTCAGAGATATCAATCTGAATAATTAGAAAAAGAAATGTTTTTTGAACAAGCAGTCATATTATTTTAGATGAAAAAAATCACAATATAAGATTCTTTCTCATATAAAATTAAATTTCTATTATCCTTTTTGTTTACCAACGGTACCTTTTTATATCTATAACTTTCCTTACATTTTTCTTATTTTCTGTTTCCTTTTACTTCATTTTATATACCTCTAAATAATCTTTGAATTAGATGGAAAACATTTACCTTTTAATTAAAAAAATACTTTTTAACATGTTTCTCTGTATTTTTTAAATTGGAAACTACTCAGACATTTAATTAATATCTATTATTTAATATAACCTCAGATTGTAAATTATATGACAAGTTTAGTATAGTGGATTGAAGCATCCTGGTAGTGGGTGCGTCTCCACAGTGTTTCATCCCTGAGTCATTTCCGCCCTCTTACATGCCTTGGTTTCTCCCTTCAGAGGTCTGGCACCTCCAAGAAGGCTCAAAAGATAGAGTAACCAGCTCCCACATGCATTTACTTAATAACTACTTTTTTGGGGGGTTCCCTGTAGGGCTGCTGTACATCGCAGGGGGTCAAGCCCCCAGACATTTTCACCTGGCTTCTGGTTACCCAGCAGCACCGTTTGCCTGGGAGAGGCAAAATGTCCTTTCTCTTCAGAGTGAGAAAACTTAGTCTCTCATTTATCTACGGAAGCAACAATTCAGTTCTTCATACAAATGTGCAGACAAGCCAATTGTGCTTAATTTAGGGAGAAAAAGCAATGGAGAAGTCCCTTTAGAATATGCCTCTCAGAACTAGAAACCAAACAGGTTGCCCAAAAAGGGGTCATTCTCCTTGTCTTTAGAAATAGGCAATGGAAAAGATCCGTTTTAATGCACCTCTCAAATAGAATTAGGATCCTAAACAACTTCCTAGGAGGAAAAAAAAAAAAAGCAGCTCAGAATAAATCAAGAACCCGCAACCAAAGGGACGTTCAGGGCTCAGGAGGACTTGCCAGTTTCACTAGTGGAGAAGCTCAGAGTCAGGGAGGCTTTCCACGGGCCCCTACTTGTACCCTGGCTCTAAGTTTGGGAAGCTTATTCAGAGTCCTGAGTCTTCTCTGAGGCCCCACATGTTCAGGCAACAAATTATTGTTCACAAAAAGAATCAAACTCTGTAAAATATTTGAAGAGATTTATTCTGAGTCAAAAGTGAGTGACCAATGGCCTTTGGCACAGACCATACGAGACCCTGAGAACATGTCCCCCAAAATGTCTAGGGTACAGCTTAGTTTTATACCTTTTAGGGAGACATGAGGCATCAATCAAATACATGTAAGATATATTATACACTGGATTTATACAGACAGGTAGACACTTCTATTTGTCCACTAAGTTTTTTTGTTTGTTTGTTTGTTTGTTTTTTCTTACGAGGATTTCTAGATTTTTATTTTCTGGCTCTCATTTCCCCACCATCCCCCCTTTTTAAACTAAGACTAGAAAATATTAATCAGCCTTCCTGCCCTTCCCCAAGGTTCTCAGCATCCCCCACCAGCTGGCTTAAGGGACATGGATTTTATTTCTGCACAAAGAGGGACGTGGGGGGAAGGAGATGTATAGCTAAGACCACAGAAAGCTTGTTAGCCAGGGAATAACTCCCCTCTCCCTTTCAGGGGTCAGGCCTAGATTAATCACTTGGCCTTTAATACTAATCACCTGACGGTTGTTATATGTTCTGCGTCTAGTTTTAAAATAATGAAAACTGAGGCTTGTGCTGAACATATGCACACATTTTGAAGACAGACCTGAAATGTGACTTTGGATAAGTTTATTAACCTCAGTTTTATAAATCTGTACACACACACATTCACATAAAGTGCCTAGCCCATCACAGCAGAGCTCTCCATAGCTCAGCGGTTGTACCAATAGGACATTAGGGATTCTTCAGAAGCCAGCCATCAGACCTCTCATTGTGTTCTGAGATCATTATTATCAATTTGGATTTAAAAAACAAGGGCCCTGTAAAACCCTTTAAGTCTTCCTCATCTCAGGTTTTAGGGATGCTAACTGATAAAAATTAGGGGTTCACAAGGTCACACTGCCCCTAGAAGCAGGCACTGGAAAGAAACAGGCAGCTCTTCTTTATCCCAAGCAGAACCTCTGTCAACTTGCCCATTGATGGGTTCCATTCACCTGGGCTTGGAATCCCAAAGGGGAAGAACCACCTTTACTGGAGAAACAGTCCAAAGCCTGGGGTTGGAGTTGGTGGAGCAACTCTTCACTGTGCTTGCACCTGGGCTGGGGCAGGATCCTGAACCTCTCGGGAGCATAGCCCGCGGAAAGTGGTCGGCTTGTTGGTGAAGGGGTGCCACTGGCCTTGGATGCTAGGATTGTCGGTGTGGAAGGGCTTGCGGATGCGGATCACGTCCAAACCCGACTGGTTGGCCAGCTTCTGCACCAGCGTCGAGATCTCCTCGACCGACTTGCAGTGGATGCTCTCCTCGCGCATACCCCGTTAAGGTATTCGGTCACTACTCTGGGCACGCAGCACGGATGCGAATTCACATATATTACGACCCCTGGGTTCCGTCGGGCGAAGTCGATCACCTCCCGCTCCCCGAACTCCCTGGCGCCGCGAGACTAGGCGCCGTCGCGGCTGACGCTGAAGCTCAGACGCTCCAGCTGCTGCACGTAGCGACCCAGTCAGTTGTGCAGAACACTGGCCAAGAAGCGGCTAGGAGTCCCGCGCGCAGTCATAGCTACAGCTTGGAGGCCGCGGGGCCTAAGCGGCGAGGAGGGGAGCGGGACTTGTCCACTAAGTTCTAAGGGATGTTTCAAAAAACAACCTACGTATGAGATCAGAATTTATAATATTGTTTTTGTACAAAAGGATAGAAGTGAGAAAACTCTTATATTCAATCTTTAATTATAAAATTAAGATACTCACTATTCTCTCATTTTTCATTTTTCCAAGAGAGCTGATGTATCTGAAGAAATACGTCACCTCCATTCACAGGAAAACTTAATAATCAAACACGTATTGAATTCTTAATCTTGTCTTTATTTAGAAATATCATGGGTATAAAAGAAAATTCCTTTCAAGGATTCTCTTGATAATGTTGTTCAGTCCAAATAAGTGTTCTTTTCTGATTATTTAATCTCCTGGTATAATCTGTGATAATTTTTGAAATATATGTATATTATGAACAGCTAAAGTGTATACTAATTTCATTTATTCATGATACACTGGCAGAAATCCCAAATGTCTTAGAGAATTTAGGTGGAAATTCATAATGCCAATTTAAAGAAGTCAATTATTCTCTGAGAACTAAAATAAATTTGGTAAATAATTATGTTGACATAAATAATAGTTAAAAGCCAGTTCTACCAATTATAATGTATGCTTATACTGCCATATTACATGTGCTGGCAATCACACAGGTAATATGGGAAGTTCCCATCTTTTGATTTGTTGATGGTGATAAAGTCTTTCAATTAAACTGGCTATTCTAAATAAAACAGAATATAGTATTTCTTTAATATATTTCTTAATGTGTATCTTTGATATGTCATTATTGTTTGATCTCTCATCGTAAAGTGATGGAGTTTAAAAAATTCTTCTTAGTAATATAATAAACACATTGATAAAATGGCACCAAATAAAAACATAAACATCGGGGGAGGATAGTTATTTGGGTTAAGAGAAGGCAGAGTTAAAGAGTGTAGTAGTAACATGGAAAAACTCCACTTAAGTTGGAAGTATTAGATTTTTCTTCCCCGTAATACTCAATGATGGGCAAAGTAGTAGCTTAAAGGTAGTGTTATATAAAAAAAAAAAAAAAAGGTTCAATCCTCATTTGGAGTGGTTGCCTATAATCAGTGTTCACATGTGTACTACAAAACAAAAACTGTCAACAAAGAGTAAAAATGTAAATGCTTTATGATTTTTACCTATTTTTACATATATGTTTTATAAAAATGGTAAATCTAACTAGTAGTTTAAAAATGATATTGCAGTTGGTATACGAGTTGCAGTTGATATAACAAACTACGCTTTTAAACACATTATTGTGAAACACTTGCACTGTCGCTGTCCCAATGGTCCACAGCTTTCTCTAGTTCTTTTGTCTGTATGCAGGAAAGGTCTAACCAATATCAACCATTTCCAGACTATTGGCCATATCCAGCATATCCAGCGTATTACCTATATCCCTGTCCATAGCCTTACAATATTCCTCAGTAACCAAAGGGCATAAGTATAAAAGTAGACTAGGTCTAGTGATATATTTTACTTTCCAAAAATATCCATGTTCATAGTTAAAAGAGGAAATCAAACACAAGACATCAAACAAACAATAGGCCCAGGAAGAGATGTGGGATGATTTACCTTCTTGAAATGTATTTATTTATACAAATAACTCTGAGAGAAAGTTTCTGTCCTGTTGTGGTTAACAGGCTGGACTCTGGAGGGGTGGAAACCTGAGTTTGTATCATGTTCCTGACAATTACTAGTTTCTTTACTGTATTAGTCCATTCTCATGCTGCTGATAAGACATACGCGAAACTGGGTATTTTGTAAAGGAAAGAGGGTTAATGGACTCACAGTTTCACGTGTCTGGAGAGGCCTCACAATCATGACAGGAGACGAAGGAAGGGCAAAGGAACTTCTTACATGGCCACGGACAAAAGGGCATGTGCATGAGGACTCCCATTTATAGAACCATCAGATCTCCTGAGACTTATTCACTACCACAAGAAGAGTATGGAGGAAAATGCTCCCACCACTCAATTATCTCCACCTGGCCCACCTTTGACACATGGGGTTTATTACAATTCAAGGTGAGACTCCAGTGGGGACACAGCCAAATCATATCAACCTTGAAACTAGTAGTTTCTTAATCTTCTCTAAACATCAGTTTTCTTATCAACAAAATACGTATTATAATAATACTTAACCTCATTTTAGAATTGGGAAGACTATTAACAAATATTTTACGTAAAATCCCTTGATTAGAAAGGTGTACAGTTATGACTGCAGATTTCCCTGCCACTAACTCTGTTTCAGAATGTTGTTCAAAACTGTACCTCCTAAAATACAATCTTTGGAGAAGATGTACAAGCCTATCGAATGCCTAGAGGATCAAGTTCAGGCTGTTTCCCATATCATTAATGTCAACAGGATATTCAATTAGAATAAAATCTCACAATGCCCTGAGAAATATTTAAAATTCCATGAAATATTTCAACTTTGATGAATGTAGAAGTTATCTTTAATCTCCTAAAATTTGCTTTATTTTGTAGATAAATATTTAACATTACACAGATTTCAGAACATTTAATGTTGTGTATAGTTAGATAAAACTGATATTCTAAAAAAGAAATTGATGACATTTTTATATCTCCTTGTTGGTAGTATACTAGTGATTCTTTCAGTAATTGCTCTTGGATTTACTTAGGCCATATAATATAAATTTCTCACAATTTCCCAGATCAATCATTGATTATCAGGTATTTCAAAAATATTTTCTTACCATTATCTGTTTTACGCTTCCTCTCTATTCTTAAAGAATTTTTAAAATTAATATATTCTTTCCAATGAAGGTTTTTATGGTTAGAAGTATAATGATATAACCTAATGTTTGCATTTGGGGCATTTTTATTTACAATGTATTTTTGTATATTCTCATTTAGTTAAATTTTAACTCTTATTGTAATACCTTAAATATAAGAAAAATTTAGTTAGAGAGATTAAGCAACTGCCAAGTTCACAGCAACATTTGTTTATGGAAATATGGAAATGAATATTTCCTTCATAATGTTTCAACTTCTTGGCTTCTGCACTATACAAACTGCTTAGAAATGCGTCTCTTCTCTGTCTTTTCTATCATGAATATTTTCACGAGCTTTCTATTTTCTTCCACATGTTACATCAGTGCTAACCAGGATATCTCTCTTCAGCCTATTTTCTTCTGATTCTATGCGCCTTTTCTGTATAATCTCTTCTAATTTCACAGTCTTGATTACAGTCAATAGGCTTCTAAGTCCCCAGTCTGCAGCTCCAGTGTGACTTTCTCTTCATCTCCCACTTTTAGTCTCATGTAATTAGTTCTCTCTTGAATTTCTCTGAGTCTTTATTCTTGTCTGACTCTCAAATTACATGAAAAACTCCTTAAGAATAGGAGAAAAGCTAGTCACATGGTATCTCCAGAATAAAGGAGATCCTGTCTTATTTACTAGACAGTCACATGTTGTTCCATATAGGTCAACAGCAGTATTTTTCATTTTAGTAATTCAAACAGGAATACAACATAAGTGGTTTTTTTGTTGTTGTTAAATAAGCACCATAGATTTGGGTAGCAAACTGTTCCATATTTTCATCACGGGAGATTTGGAGAATAAGGAAGAGGAGGAGGAGAAGCAGAAAATGGAGGAAGAGGAGAACAGAGAAGAAGAGGAAAAAGAGGAGGAGGAGGAGAAGCAGAGGAAGGTGTAGAAGGAGGATAAAAACCCAGCATAAATATCACTGTAAATACTCATTCATGGGTAGCATCCATAAGCAACAAGTGTATTGACACAACTGTGACAAGTCAGTAGCTTGTTGATACCTCACTTTTAATTGAAAGGCATGGCCTTTTCAAAGAACATGGTGTTTGCTTATAGAAGACAAGATATCTGTTTTACTTAATTATAAAATATGAAGCCATGTTCTGGTCCATCAGTCTTCTAAAATGGCCTACTGTTCCTGGAGGGTGAGACCATAACTAGCATGAGAAGGTCATTACTGTATTTGTAGTCCACCGTGCTTGTTTCACCTGTCATACATAATCCCCGCACTTCCTAACTTGGAGAAGCAGGAAATCGTGGGTGAAATAATGCCTGCATTTTGGTGTTCCAACATAAAATGCATATGCCTTAGGTTTAATTGTAGTTTTTAAATGAGTATACTGACATCTGCCATTATATCTGACCTGTTAGTTTGCTGTTTGGTAGTGCTTTTGGACTATTAGTTTGCTTTTTGTGCACAAGAACATGAATATCTTAGATCCACTGGAACTGTACCTAATATTGTTAGAAAAACAAACTAGGGAAGAAAACCACAGGGAAGAAATGAGAGGAGGCAGAAGAGAAAAGAAGAAAGGAGGAAATCACTTGACAATTTGCAATTAATTAAGCCAGGGTACATGTTTTAAATCAGACATAGTTCAGTAGTTACTGACCCATGAGATGGTGCAGTGGCTCATGCCTATAATCCCAGCACTCTGGAAGGCCTAGGCATTAGGATCACTTGAGATCAAAAGTTCAAGAACTGTGTTGACAAAATTGTGAAACCCCATCTCTATAAAAAATAAAATTAAAAAATTAGGCAGCGGCAGTCATGCATACCTGTATCTCTAGCTACTTAGGAGTATGAGGGGAGGTTTGCTTGAGCCCTGTAGTTCCAGACTGCAGTTACTATGATTGCGCCACTGCACTCCAGCCTGGGTGATGAATGCAGCCCATGAACCTATTAAAAAAAAAATACTCACTGAATCCTATGTAACTCTTTTTCATTGAGAATGTACAGAGAATGGATTTGTTTTGTGCATAGAAGAGACCTTGTATCTATGATGCTTAGAAATTCCGCGCCAAAAGAACAATAATAATTTAAATCTAATTTACTTGAATTACACATTTGCCTAAATAAATAATTTACATTTTTGTATATTACCTATCAAACACCATAATTTCCAATAGGACTGTTCAAATTAGCATAGATTTATCTAATAAATATT